AAAAACTATACTTCACGGGAGAGAAGCATTCCTAGACACCACGCCAGTTTGACTCAGAGTTGGAAAAGAACCTTTTCTCCCCCACTTCTTTCCCACCCAGATCCCTCTTCCATGTATATCAGCAAAATGATGTACCGGTTTGTTGGCCTGTCTGTCGGCCTGTCCGTGTATATGTCGGTACGCTAAAAACCATGATTACAAAAAAGGCAGATATGGAAAATCAACCATGAACCGGGGTGATGTCACATAAGAATAACCTCAAACAGTAGTCATGCTACTATTATACAGCCTAAATCATCAAGTAGGTCAACAGTTCCCAGCATCTCCGACCCGTCGATAGCGATGAATATCGATTTGGGGCACAACCAGTAGAGTAATTGAGGAAATTGGTAAGGGATACATGCAATGGACTCAGAACCGCATCGTTATCAACGAATACTGATAGGACAGGCTTCAGCACAATGATATCAGTCGATACTAAAAATAACTAACAACCTTCTATTACCCTGCGAGCTGCGACTTTGAGTGGCCTTTCTCAGGACCATACTATAAGGAGAAATGGTCAATCGCTATTCGCTCATATAATGCTAATAGTGTTTTACTGCGAGTTTTCCGCGGTTGCAGTGAGGAAGTAGGTTCAAAAGGTACAGAACGTAGGAGTAGTAATGGTACGGAACATGACATTAGCAAACTAGAGATTCCAAGTATAACTGAAGAGCTCAAAGAATTATCTTTATCTGACGCCTGAAAATTAACGGACGGCAGCTTTTTAGTTGTGCAACTTAGCGGAATGTTTGCTATGATTTAGACGGTGGTTATTTTATCCTCTACGGAACACGAGGATCGTATTGGCTAGTTTTGATGATAGGAAAAATAAAAAATAGAAATGAAAGCTTCAAGCTATTAAACGAGGGTTATCCGAACTACGACAAGAAATTTCGTAAGAATTGTGACTGAATATGCAGAATACTAAATACGAACTGAGTGCCTAATCAACCGGCAAGACGTTAATCCTAAAATTATCCAAATAAAGCCACAACAGATCTTGAGGAAAAGAGAACATCATCTGGACAAAATTTCCAGGTATGATCGCCTTCAGCACAGTATAAGGTTCAAAGAAAATCTTAAACATCACCGTCTGGAACTCCGATCCTACGATTCCACACCTTTACCCGCTACTAGGAAGGGTATGCTGTTTGGTGCGGCCCCTCGCAGTCATTTTGTCTTTGGGGCGCATGGGCTTCAACTGTCACCCATAGGCCGCCCATGCAATGTAGTTTTGTGTTGGCAACTCGTCCAAACCATCCACCTCTCTATTTAACAAGGCGGATTTCAAAGGCACAGTTCACGATAATTTTGGGTAATCCAAATAATGACGAAAAAAGGATGGTAAGATGGAAAATAGTGCGATGAAGGCGGAGAAAGTGCGTGAATCGGTGTTTTCAAAGTGAAAAAGGCTTCGAAAATATCGTCAAAAGTTAGCCGGACTAGAATGGTAGCAGAAAAATGAAGAATGGGGCGTTTGGACGAGCTATACAATGTGTGCTGTTGCGTAAGTGTAGGTCCTGGTGCGAATAGCTGACTACAGTAAGAAAAATGACAAGACGGATTTAATCATTTAATGTGTAACACACTAACCCGAACACACGCTGAAGCGCCTCCAAACACCCGGCACATATACGATGCATAGTAAAGGTATGCCGGGTGAAGCCCACAGAGGTGGGTGGTGAGGTGCTAGGGGACTGTGTCTCACGTGCACGGAACGTTAAAATCGCTCTAATACAAAAATGCCCTACAAATTTCATTCACTCATAAGCATAAGTTAACAAAAAAAACCTAGTAACTTGCTCCTTTTCAGCTCCTCGGGGTGAAAATTAAATAAAGGACCACAGCACCAAAAAGAATAACAGAGAATAAAAAGGAAAAAACATCGCCTTATCATTAGGCGATCAGCTGATTGAGTGCTGGATGTGTTGGTCCTGGCGCGAATATTGCAATCTGTACTGCCTGGACACTCGTGTGACACATCATCGGTCGAGAGGCGGGGCATCCGGGTGATCCGGTAACGAGGCTAACACTATGCCCCAGCTGTTGAGTTTTGGGACCCGACGGCGTCCTTTCTGTTACCTTTAAGGGCCGCGGAATACTCCTAGTGAAGAGCTCAAAAACGATTTTTATCGCGCCTTTAAAGTACCGTGAATGTGTTATACAGTAACTCGAAGACAAACTCATACGCCAAACATCCGTACGACGCAACAAACAGGTAGCGTAGGTCAGGGTGGGTGGAGAAGCCTCGCGAGAGGTAGCGGTTACTGTGTCACACGCCTAAAATCTGTCTCGACCGAGAAAGTATGTACAAAAGCTACAAAATAGGAGTAATAATGGTGCGGGACATGGCATTACCGAACTAGGAGATTTCAGGTATAACTGGAAAGTCCGAGACTTTCAATTCATTACTAGTTTGGAGAATTATTCCCAAGCATAAGTGATACAATAGTAAAACTTCTAGCATAGCTCTTGCTCATAAATGGGACGAAGACTGTAGCGGCCAGAAGGCGCACCGGTGAACTCTGAACGCAGCCATTGAGCGGACGCGCCCCTTTGCGAAAATTGCAACGCAGCCGCCCCGTGACCAGCATTTTCCATGTGGCCGTTTAAATCTGTCTGCGGATGATCTTTGCATGACCTCGTTTTTTACTAATAATTACCTTTATTCTTTCTTTTATGGTTCATCTGCTCTTTTTTATCAGTGCACCCATAAAAATCAATCGAATCAGATTAGGATATGGGAATTCTCATTTCCAACCTTTTTCGGAGCGTGGTAAACATCATCACCGTCACAAGTGCATTCCTTTTCCCAAAACAGCATTCATGGATTGTTTTTGTTGTGATCAATCTGGATTTGTATCGGAAATCAATAAAAAATAGTTCAAACAGGGACAAGTGGAGGATATTCGGTGCGCAACGTGACCTCGTTTTCACTTCACGTCGAGGATGGCCTTCAAGGCAGTAGTGTTGGTCGGCGGACCGCAGAAAGGTGCGTGAGTGGTCATCATCATCATCATGTTCCTGGCAGCTGGAGCTCTTCTGTCGCTCTATATCATTTTCCTTGTTCTACCTGTCGTCGTCATTGCCGTTGTGCTTCAGGGTTGTCCCCTCAGTTTGTAAATGCTAGGTGTGTATTTGTAAAATAACTGGGTTGTAAATGGTGCAACAGAATTGGATAGAGCAAAGGAAAAGCTTCTTTACCTTCTTCTACATTCATCCTTCACAGATTATTTATTCGAAGTTTTATTCAGGAACTCGATTCCGTCCTCTCTCACTTCAGTTGCCCAAACCTCTCTTTCCAATCGCCGGCGTTCCTCTTGTGGAACACCATATTGATCAACTTTCTCAGGTACACCTTAGGACTGGTTTTTTATTATGCTCTTGAATGTTTAAAATTACTACTCTTGGCCACCTCGCATTGATTATTACAATCAAACCAATAGATTTCAAATCTGTGCACTTTTCATTGTTTGACTATC